CACCTGAATGAACCCCTTCCTCAAAATAAATACAAAGAAGAAAACTTAAGTCCATAGAAGAAATGAATTTAGAGCCTTTTTGGTTACATGCTCAGAAGTGTTTTTGAGAGCTTTTCTACTTAAAATAAGGAGTTTTTTTTACAATAAAGAATCTCTCAAAAGCACTTCTAACTTGTATCCAAACATGTTTTCAATCAAAAGAATAAGTTTCATATAATTTAAGTCACATTATCTGCATGGTTTGAGTAGTCCCCCACACCTTGGGTGTGTTTCCTTGAATGTGATAATCATTGTTGAAATGCAGAGTGGAACCATATTGAAATATATAAAAAAAAATTGTTTATTTTAATCCTAAATCTGTCTGTAGTGCCATACCAAAGGAACTATCAAAGCAAGTTGCTGGGGTGATTTTTATAGTTCCTTTGGTTGCACCTTCTGTTGATCTTTCTTGGTGAAGCAACAGTTCCCTGTTCCCCTCCTTTATCTTTCCACTTTTATTAGTGAGTTGTCACCGGTCACTAGTGTACCCTTAACTCACTTTGGATGCTTTAAACATGTGGTAAAGGCTTAACTGCAAAATTCTGCTTGTATCTTTACTGTTATGCATTTTTTACTAAATAAAGATGCATGGAACTTCTTGTTTCCTTGCACAAGTAGTTATAGTATTTCTATCATGTTTATCTGATAAAGGGTTGATCATTTATTAGCAAAAACTTATTTGAAGCTAACATCCAAGCTTGAGAAGCTAACATATAGAACCAATTATTCAATTATCTGAACATGTCAATGTGGTACGCAAATAATGACCTGTTCTAAGCTCCATAGAATCAATTCTATTATCACAAGATGGTATTTATTTGAACATTTGCATGCCATGAGCCAAAATATTTTGTTATTTCATGGAAGTATTCAAATATCACACTAATAATTGAGTATAATAAGTTTAATATATGAGAATATAGGCTTAGCATACATAAATAGTCAATTTTTCTCACAGTTTTCAAATACTAGGATTTCAAATATTCAAGATAAATTGTGTTAAGATAATCAAGATATGTTATGTTAGTATTACATTTTTTCAGAAGGAAACTTTCTGTGGAAAGGCTGTGTGAGACAACCATGGCAATTAATGTTTTGTTATCTTTTGCAGCATGTTGAGGCTCTAGAGATTCTTCTTCAAGGACTATGTGGTGTTCAGAGAGAACGATTGACGATACATGAAATATGCCTTAAGAGTGGTCCACATCTAGGTGAGTGTTTTATTTGAATATTTTGCTATTTTGTGGCCAACAATATTTCCATTTTTGTTGTTATGGAAGTAATTTTATGCTATGCATTGACCACCAAACAGTAAACAAAACAAAACATTTTGATGTGACTTGGCTCATTGAGCTGTGTTATTTTGTTCCTCAAATGTCCATTAAGTGTAGTCTTTAGCATTTCCTGTGGACTATCGTACAAATGGCATGCTTCATGCTCCTTTTACGACCTATTTTTCTCTTTTGTATTGGCTTTCAGTTTATATCTCATGGTTTCGTTTTATTGTTTCTGTTCTCCGAAGAAATTTATGCTTGTCCAAGATGAGGTTTATTCTGTGTTGCATCTTCAAGATAGAGAAGAAATGTTTTCAAATCTAACGATTCCCTCAACATTTTTGTCTAGTTTTTGAATTTTTTGGTGTAAATTTTCGTTTTTTAAAAGTATATCATTTTAACCTTTCTCCAATTAATCATGATTATATGGACTTTTTCTATAGGTACTGTAGCCTCAGAGGTTCGACTCTTGTGTGATCTAGAGCAATCTGAACCTTCATGGTAAATCAATTGCAACTTTACTGTTAATCACTTGTTAGAAATTTTTCCCGCAACCATATACACATTTAATGTGCTTGATGATTTGTTCAGGAGTGTTAGACATGTAGGTGGTGCAATGAGGGGTGCAGGTGCAGAGCAAGTTTCTGTTCTAGTTAGGTCAATGGTGGAAAGCAAAACAAGCAAGAATGCACTTCGCTTGTTTTATGCACTGGGGTACAAGTTTGACCATGAGCTGCTGAGAGTGGGATTTTCCTTCAATTTCTACAGGGGTGCACAAATCACTGTGACGGTTGCATCAATCAATAAAATGCTGAAGCTGCACGCAACTGATGAGGCCGTGCCAGTAACACTTGGTATACAGATGGTTGAAGTAATAGCACCCGCAACTTCTGAAAACTATACTGAAGTTGCTACTGCTATGTCATCCTTTTGTGAATACCTTGCACCGTAAGTATCTTTTTTCTTTCTCAATTGCATATTAAGAATCTTTTATACAAATCTTTGCACTGGAGGAATCTTAATATATTGCTAGTAATTGGGGGGTGTTACTGTTTTCTTAATTTACCGTCATGCTTGTTTGATATCACTCAGTCATGATTGTTTAAGGTCTTACTGTCATATTATAATTAAGGTTTATTTGGATAAGCTTCCTCAAAAACACTTATAAGAGAGAAAAATATTTAAATAAAAAAAAATCAAAATAAACTTCTCTAAGTTAAAAGTAATCCATGTATGAGTTAAAAATAAGATTTTAGAATAGTTATATGAGATCATTTCTACATATTAACTTATGTACACAAGCTTTAATTTATGGAAAAATTTATTTTATTTTTTCTTTTTAATTTTTATTTCTTAAAAGTACTTCTGGAAAAGTTTATCTAAACAAACCTTTTAGTTAACAGTTATCACCTCTTATTATTTTCCTTGACATAGATCATTGGTATATGTGACTGTTTGGTGTGAAATTCCCAGGCTTCTCCACCTGTCCAAACCAGGCGTTTCAACCGGTGTTGTTCCTACTGTTGCTGCAGCTGCTGCAGCTCTAATGTCTGATGGTGGGGGTACGACGTTGTAGTGTGCCTGCAATGTTATCTTTGTGAACACACTTGCTTCTGCAATGTTACCTTTGTAAACAAACTTGCTTAAATGCAATAAAGAGACTAGAACATGTGAAAATTGACATTGGAACATGCCTTCCCATTGCTTATTTGCTTTATGATCGATCATATACACGCGCAATTTGATTGTTCTTAGCTGTTTGGGAGTAGAATAGTGTCATGCTTTAATGATAAGAAAAGAAAAGAAAATATTAGTTTTAGGACGTGAGTGGGTTGGGTCTTTGTTATTTATTTTCTTATTGTACAATGGTGACATTGAACTTATAACCTAAGACTTTGTATAAACTACTTAATTCTCCCACTAAGCCAACCTCTGCTGGATTGGTTGGGTCTTTCCTTAAACTATCCAAACCTAACTCCAGCTTTGGATTATTTTCATCAGATTTCCAAAAATAATTTTTTTTGAAGATAAAGTAAAGATGTCCATCAAAGTGCACCTATTTTGACTGTTCCGGACATATTTTATTTTACATTGTTTTTGTTATTTTAGTATGGAAGTTTTCTTCGGTGGATGTTTTATCTTTTATTTAATTGATATTAAAGTGGCACCTACTCATGCTATTGCAGTGAAAGCACCACTATCGGCTTATTTTAACACCTTAAAACAAGAAGCAGAGAAAAAAATTTCAAGTTGTTGTGCCCCTCGAGACCATTACGCCTTGACGAAGCTTCGTTCCGTGGCACATTAGTTGCTTCAATCACTATTTGGCCAATTAACCAAAGGTGTTTAGAGGTTCTGATAACTCGTTAATTCGACCCAACTAGACCCAAACATTTTTGTTTGGATATTGGTATCATTATGTTTAAATTGAATGACTTTTGATTCTAATAATAAGTTTACGTTTAAATTAACAAATTTGATAACTTAACTCATTGATGTGATATTTTTTAAATAAGTATTTAAATAAATTTTAATTCATTTATTTAATTGTTATTATTTGTAATTTTTGAAAAATTAAAAACAATATTGAAGTTTTATTAGATTTGATGGACTCAACTTATCATTGATTAGGTTGGTTTAATTCATGTTTGATAAAAAAAAATGCACCATTCAACTCAATCCAAAATATTTTGATCAGTTTGAGTAATCAGTTTAATCAAATTTGACTCAAATTGACTTGTATACATCCCTACAATAAATCATTTAAAAGAATTAATAAACTAAACACACTATTTAAATAGGTCTTTTGTTGGTGACATCATACATAAGACTAGTTGCGGTCCTTATTTTATCTAAATTTACTCATGGACAAAACATATGTTGAATACAATAAATAACTCTTTGCTAGTTATACTTAATGTTGATCAATAAATATTATTAATTAGAACATCTCCTAGACAACTAATAAGCATATCTAAATAGTTAATAAATTTGGTTGTATGACAACTAATAAAAAAGAAGTCCTAAAATAATAAATAAATGGTTAATATGTTTATTGATATCTAAGCACCAATAATTAATCACCTTTTATTAATGACTAAGTTTTTGTTATTGTATCATATTGGTACCGGCCGTTTCCAAAATAATTCAACGATCCACCCTAATTCACAAGGTACTTCTAAGTTCTCCATTCTAATAACTTGATGAACAAACTATGTTCTACAATTCACACATTGCATGCCAATCTACACAATGAAAATGGGAGATCACATGTTTCGAAGAGTGGATTATACATTTCAAGTTACATAATTGCTTCCTAATATGGGGATGGGCAACCCCTCTACACTTAGAAAGTTGCATGGAAGAAACTGATGATCTGACAAGACATCCCATCATTCTTCCACCATGTCACCCTCACTTTTCCAGAAATACTCCATGCAAATACCTCTTTTAAGTATATTCTTTAACTCTAGTGCTAAAACTCTAAAGAATTCATACTCATTTGAGCATTAAAGTGTGTATGTAGGTGACCATCACCTTCAACTGTCTATTTGTCACCATTCATGCAACTAGTCAAGATTGTCCTAATTGCTCTCAACGTGCTAAAAACACAAACATGCTTAATTCACTTTGAACATTGGCACCATTTGTAAGAAAATATTAATCTCTCCATATTTCTTTAGATTTTCATGATGGTGAACACTCGCAAAGGTATAGCTTGTGCCAATATGAAGACAAACTCTACTATATTATATTATAAGACATCGACACCTAGCCACATTAATTGATCTAGAAGTTTGCTAACCACAACAACTTTGTTCAAACCGATCCTAGTTAGTGAGAGCATCAAATGTCCTCACATTAAAAGGTTTCCCTATACTTTTGATAGGCCACCCACCTCCCCATGCATTTAATGACTACGACATGGTCCTCGGAAATCTGCCACTCGTTTTGAGAAAAAATTTGTGCAAAATTCTACCCAAGAGGGATTAACCCTAAAATTGAGTGGTATAAC